AACTACCGGGGAATAGCTAAGCTTTCTGCAATTCCTAAATTATTTGAAGCAATTATAACAAATCAGTTGACGCATTCTATCTCTTCTAGCATTTCATATAGTCAACATGGATTTTGCAAGGGCAAATCAACTTCTACAAATTTACTTGAATTAACATCCTATATCTCAAAAGCATTTAGTGAAAGCAAAACTTTTGATGTTATATATACTGACTTCAGTAAAGCATTTGACAAAATGTGCCACTCGTTGCTCATCTACAAACTTGATCTTCTTGGTCTTCCACCTAATTTTCTACGTTGGATCTCTTCATACCTCTATGATAGATCACAAAGGGTAATGGTTAAAAATACTATCTCTGACGTCATTGATGTTACTTCAGGAGTCCCTCAAGGTAGCCACCTAGGCCCGGTTCTGTTCTTGCTTTTTAAAAACGATATTTCTACAGATATACAATTTTCCAAAATTTTAATGTATTCAGATGATGTAAAGCTTTATAAATCGTACGTTTCAATTAAAGAAAGGTCTTTGCTACAATCAGACTTAGACAGCATGGCTTACTGGTTTCAAGTAAATCTTATGCCTCTAAATCTTAAGAAATGTAAAGCAATGAGCTTCTCGCGAAGAGCTGTTCATCCCGCTTCTTATACAATAGGTAACCATAACCTGGAACAGGTATACAATTTTGTGGACCTTGTTATCACAATGGATCCTAAGCTTTATTTTAATCTTCATATTAATGTGACAGTCAACAAGGCTAAAGGTGTACTTGCATTTGTGAAACGATGGTCAAAAGAATTTTGTGACCCTTATAACACTAAAACCCTGTTTACAACGTTAGTTAGGCCAATTCTGGAATACGGTTCGGTGGTTTGGAATCCAAGGTATCAAATTTACTCAGACAAGATAGAATCAATTCAAAAACAATTCCTACTTTTTGCTTTAAGAAATTTCCGTTGGGATTCTCAATATAACCTTCCACCTTATACGAGCCGATTAAAACTTATTAATCTTCCTACACTTTCCAGCCGCAGGCAAATGCTTGGTACAATTTTTATAGTTAAATTACTAACAGGCTCAATTTCAAGTCCGCTTCTTCTTGGCGAAGTTAGCCCTAATGTTCCCTCCCGGGTATCAAGACAATTTTGCCCTCTATTTCTGAAAGCTTGTAAAACTAATTTTGAATTGCACGACCCACTCCGTTGCTTATGCCAGGATTTTAACTCTCATTCCAGCACGTTTGATATAGCAGATCCGCTTTTCAGCATTAAGAAATCGATACTGTCCTCTCTCAATAGATGAGTCATTAAAATAAAGACATAAAATCGGCTGATGAATTTAGTTCTGTAGCTGAACAGTTTTAGATCTCGACACTTAACAAACTCCTGCCTATCGTGACTCGGCGCAAAAATTGAAAATACTGGTTCCGTACGTCATGCAGACTGCGCCCCTCGTGCGGATGGGCGGGAATGGAGGGTAAAAACCGTTGGGATATTATTATAAAAAAAAAAGAAATATAGCCAATACTGGTCAAGAATAGGAGTTTATATTATTGCCACCAGTGCAAATACAAATCCCGAAAATCCCGGGATTACTTGCTAAGAATCCCGGGATTTTCGAGACCTTAAAAAGTCCGGTCTCCCGGGACATTTAACATTACTAACACACACGGCTTGCCTGAACCAGCCGTTAATGAAATGAATAATCGAACGGGCCCTTTTCGAAAAAACCCACTTCTTCTTAGTTATATTAATTTACATACATGCGAAATTCGAGCATGAGAAACAAAAGTGAAACGATTGAAACGTGCATTTCTTTCTTGCGCAAGAAGTCAAAACAGATTGTGCGCGATCCAGCCACGCGAGTCGGGCCCGCACGCTGGCAAATAAAAATTCATTCCGACCAAACTATATCGAAATGCACGCATTTTTTTCATAGATAAATGCAGAAATGTTTATTACATAAGTAGTTGTTCAAAATTTTCGTCCACGAGGCGCAGAAATTGCTAAAAAATAAAATTTTTCATAAAAAATTGATTGAAAAGCAAAACAAAAAAAAATTTTTTGTAACGCAAATAATTTCATTGTATCGTTTAATGTTTCTTAAATCTGCACCAAAAAATTTTTTCAGTCGGACACTTACTTTCAAAGAAAAATAAGAATTTCCAAAACACTGCTAAAATGTTCAATTGTTGATTAAAAAAAAACTATTTGGAATTTTACAACAAAAATTACACAGTGTACTGTTCGACTACAAAACTCGGCGCTGCCTGAATATCATTGGAAAATATTAATGTTGGTAAATTCGGTGCCCACTTGAAGAAGCCTCACCCATATATTATTGAAAATGAAAAAAAAAATTGGTGCGGCAAATGTTAAAATTGTTTTTGATAAACTTTTTGGTGCTGATTAAGAATCCGCAAGTAAAAAGTTTCCATAAGCTCCTGATTTTGAGAAAAATGAGGTCAAAGTGTCAAAAAATCGCGTTCTTTGCAATATTTAAGAAGCTCTATAAAAGAAACAAAAGGTTATAGAACCTTCCACTTAGGCTTAAATTAAAGCTAGAACTCTCGACTACTATCCCTGAAAAGACCATCCCTGCACCTTGACCTGATGGTCACTTATAGTCATTTAAAGAAGAGCAAAAACTGATTTTGGCGAAGTTTGAGTACCTACCGCAGTTAAACAAAAGGAGATAGAACCTTCCACTTGGGCTTAAATTAAGGCCTAGAGCTTAAGCTTAAATTTAAGCCTAAGTGGGAGGTTCTGTCACCTTATATCAGCTTCTCAAATATTCAAAAAAACGCAATTTTTTTACACTTTGACCTCATTTTTCTCAAAATCAGGAGCTGATGGAAACTTTTTACTGGCGAATTGATTCTTAATCAGCACCAAAAAGTCTATCAAAAACAATTTAAACATTTGCCGCACCAAATTTTTCCATTTTTGTCAGCCTATCTAATAACATAAATTAACTAGCAGACCCGGCGAACTTCGTCCCGCCCAAAATACATTTTTTGTATTGAAACATTTTGGTTAAACAGCTCACGTTCATGATTTTCAGTGACGCATTTATCTTCTAATATTACGGTTTGGTGGTTGTCAAAGGGCATATTTCCATTGCCGACTTAAATAACCCAGCAAAAGTGTATATGCATACAAAGATACGTAATAGTTTCAGTGCGTTTGAAAGGCGCCACGTCCCCTTTTCAAATAGCCCCAATTTTCTCTAGTAGTATGCGACTGTTTTCATATATCTCCATACCATGCTCGTGTACTCTACCATGAACACTTCCAGAGATATGCAATATGAAAAATTCGGTTTGTATGGGAGGTGCCACGCCCCCTGGACCAAGCGGTATGAAAATTTCATAATGAAATATACTTCATTAAAAGAATTGTTTAACGCTCGGATTATTTTCAACTTGAAGATGAAACCAAAGACGATATCTAATTGATTTAAATAACGCTAAGATCCCTTTTGGAGAGTTGAAACAGTGCATTGAACTCTTAATGGATTCCACGGTTTTCAAATTCAACAACCTCTACTATGAGCAAATCTTTGGTACTCCGATGGGGAGTCCAATATCCCCTATTTTAGCGGATCTAGTTATGCAGGATTTAGAAGTTTCCTGCCTCGATAAGTTGAGCTTTGAGGTACCCTTTTACTATAGATACGTGGATGATATTATCACCGCTGTCCCTAAGAATAAACTTGATGAAACTCTTAATACCTTCAATAATTTCCATTCCCGTCTGCAATTCACATTCGAGCTAGAAAAAGATTACAATATCAACTTTTTAGAAGTTTGCATAACGAGGTGTGATAACAAAATTTCTTTCGATTGGTACCACAAACCCACTACCTCGTTCCGCTATATTGATTTTTACTCGTCACATCCATTGAGCCAGAAAGTGGGAGTTGTTTCTATGCTTGTTGATAAAGCGACTAAGTTGGCGGATCATAAACACCACCAAAAAAATTTAAAATTTGTTGAAAAGGTCTTACTAGCGAATCGTTACCCTCATAAGTTTATCAAGTTCTATGTTAGGAAACGCTTACATAAGAACAATAGTGATAATTTAGATAGAAACCTACAGTATCAGAATAACCGAACGGAAAATTTAATGGTGCTTCCGTATATTGAAGGGTTCTCAAAAACAGTGAACAAAATCAATAAGAAATATAATTTCAAAACTATTTTTTCTGTTAATAATAGGGTTAATGATAAATTTGTTAAAAAGTTGAAAGACCCTTTAGAAAAAGATCAGACCCAAGGGGTGGTATACAAGATAAACTGCAAAGAATGTGATAGTAACTACGTTGGCCAAACTAAGCGAAAGCTAGTGACCCGCATTAATGAACATCGAAAAGACATTAACAAGTTAAATCCAACCTCTATGACTACAGTACATAAAGTTAACACAGATCATGATTTTGATTGGGAACAGGTCAAAATTTTGGATAGGGAGAAGCATTGGAACAAACTTAATATTTCTGAGATGATTCACATAAAGATTAGTAAAAATACATTGAACCGACAAAGGGATACGGAAAATTTGAACCCTATTTATAATAAACTCCTTACCAATATTCGGTGTTAATTAGTTTACATTTCTCATCGACAACATAAGTTTAGGTATTAGGCGCACAGAAAAGATTGCGCAAAAAACGGCACAGCTGTTTACTTTTCTCTTTGTGCTGTATAGTTGGTGTTTTTTGCACTGCTGAACTATGATACATACATGTATGTATCAATATTGCATGCTTGCATTCCTAATTGTTGATATATCACGGTTGACGCTCTAGTTAGGGACAGAGATAGTATACACACTTATTGGTGTTGTTGTTTTGCTGCCCTTAACTAGTCTAATGTGCCTTTGTTTGGCGTTTAGTTTAATCTTTCTGTTTTTATGTTTGATGCTTCTCTCGCTTCATATATATGTACCTGCTCGTCTTGTTGTAACGAATAGAACTTATAAAACTTTGACATTTGAGTTAATAATTCGCTCGCTGTTCGTTGGAATAATTTCAATTTTTAAATTTATTATGCCGGAAGATTTACAATTGTTACGCGCTACTCCCATAAGAAGTAAGCCTTTTGCTTTTTGCGTGTTTTATATAAAATAGAATATTGTGTGTATAAATTTGTATTAATTGTTTTTATAGACAGGGTAAACATACCGCCTATTTGACCAAGTTGCGGATACATATATGTGTGTATAATACGATGGACAATCCATGGTGCCGCAGCTTAATTTGCGTTAAACACACATATATATATTAGCACAGATTTTTGTAAGTACTCTATGGCTGATAAATATTAGTGCTATGATTATGTGACTAATTTTTTACCTGTTTTAGTATAATTCTGATGAGGGTGCAATATTAGCACCGAAAGCTAAAGAAATAAAATGACATAATACTTATCAATTTGGCTCGTAGATATCGTCTTTGGTTTCAAATATACTTCACATCCGATTCTCGTACTTACCATATATACACAAAAAATTTCATAAAGATCGATCGAGCCGTTTAGGAGGAGTTCGACCACTAACACCGTGACACGAGATTTTTATATATTAGATATAATAAAGAAAAATTGGGTTTGTTTCGAAAAGGGCCCGTTCGATTTTATTTGACTTTGAATTCAAACAGTTTGTAATTTCATCGGCTAACAGAATCAGGTAAAAAACCCATATGCAAGAACCTTTCATTTACGGCTGGTTCAGGCACACCGTGTACAGTCAGTGCACTCAAACAAGAAGTTCGTTAAAAAGCATGGCTACCAGGGAAGCCGGCGGCGGGAGCGGGACGGCTGCCAGCCCAGGAAATCGGGGAATTCCCCACGAGTTGGCTCCGCTGATCGCTACTCTATTTTTCCTGTATACAGGGTATTTAAAAAATCACTATCTTTAAATATGTATTTTAATTTCAATACATATGTATAATAAAAAAAAACACAGATGGGGTGTAAGCTTTAATATACTTTCGGTTTCATCAAATACGAAGAAATAAACCTCCATTTCGTATCACTGTATAAAGTGTGAAGCTATTAAATGCACATTCATACATACAATATGTATTATTACATAATTATATTCGCTTAATACATAAATCTATTAACTTTATATTTTATAGTCTGTATACTTTTTGGACTGTGGAACATCATCGGTATTCTGCTGCTCAATGTTTCCTGCCTAATCTCAGGTATCATACAAATGGTGGTTGGTTTTATAGTGATGGCACTGGAAGCGCCATGTTGCTTCTTTTGCATAGACTATGTAAACGATGTGGCTACTCAAGTAGAACAACGCCCATTATGGAATCGGGCTGCCTTCTACTGCGTGTAAGTAAATTTACATACATACATATGAGGCCTTCTTTTTCATATCGGTTACCAAATTTGGTGTCACACTTTCGAATCACTTCAAATTGTTTTTTTTTTGGGGGTTCCATACATGAAGTGAGTTAACACGTATTCGAGGAAATTTCTTTCTAATTTTTTTCTTCGGAGATATGATCTGTCAAAGTTTGAATTTTTTCAAATCCTTATATCTCGGGTTCTGATCGTCGTAGAGACTTCATCTTAACGTCGTTTTAAAGCTAAAGAAACGGGCTTAAAATTTCTATATGTAAGATGCTCATGATTGTCCTAAAGCTAAATTAGCTATTAACAGTTGAACTTTTTGATGTTGATTTGCCCAGTAAGTTAGGGATCTAAAATTACACCATCGCAATCCTTTTTTAATTCGCTTTAAGAAAATGGTAAAAAAAAATTGTCATTTTTCAAGAACTATTTTTGAAATATTGTGTTTTATGTATGACAAGATTGTTTATTTTATGAGAATAAATAATTTTTTGTAATTTGTTTTCGAAAACTTATGATGAGATACATATATATATTTAAAAAAGTGTTAAAAATCGGGTTTTTGCAAACATTTAAATTTTATTGTGGATTCCGATAGAATACCTCATCATAGGTTTACGAAAACAAGTTAGATACAAAACATTGTTGACTCTCACAAAATAAACCATCTTGTCATAAAAAAACAATATTTCAAAAATAGTTCTTGAAAAATGCCAATTTTTTAACCATGTTTTTTATGGAGAATTAAACAAGGATTACTATGGTGTAATTTTAAATCCCTTCTTTACTGGTTTCACTATGCAAATCAACTTCAAAAAGTTCAACTGTTAGTAGCTAAGTTAGCTTTAGGACAATCATGAACGTCTTATATATAAATAGAAATGTTAAGCACGTTTAAAACGAAGTTAAGATAAAGTCTCTACGATGAGCAGAACCTGAGATATAACGATTTGAAGAAGTGCAATATTAGTCAGAATCACGAAAAAATACAAACTTTGACAGATCATATCTCCGAAGAAAAAAATTTAAAAAAAGTTTCCTCGAATAATTGTTAGCTTATTTCATGTATAGAAAAAATTTGAAGCGAATCGGAGACATGATATAATTTTTTTACAAAATCTGTCCGACTTAAAAAAGAATGGCTCATATATAGATAGGTGCATATGTTTATGAAAAATCAATTGTTTTACTCATAATTTATTTGTGCAGGATCGCTATACCGCCAATAATTTTGTGCCCAGGACTGGGTAGTATTTTCGCATGTGGTCTTGTATTTGGCACTGGTGTGATATATGGTCTCATGGGACTAGGTAAAAAGTAAGTATTACAATTTTCCAATGTCCTTATGAATAATGCTTGTGTTTAATAGCCATTGAGAGGCTCAAACGTGAAACTCTACCAAAATATGTTTAATACTATGTCGGGTTCAAATGTTTTAATATTTGTATTGCTTGAAGAATATATCGCTCGTTTGCCACAAAAACGTCAATAGTAAAAAAATACATATGTATGTACATTAGGGTGGCCCAAAATTGCATGTGGAAAAAGTAAAGTCGGAATTTTTATGCTCTCACCCCCTAGGATTGTTCTATACCGAAAAAAGTATACCCTTATTTTTTATTTTTTAAATAAAAAAATATTTAGAGGTCGCTCAAAGCGCCCAAAGTTTTCCATACATTTTATATGAAAAAACAACTTTTCTTAGAAATGGTATAGAATAGTTAAAAATCAATATTTTTCTACCAGAAAACTCTGTTTATCTGCAGGAGATTCCCAATAATAATACCCAATTGTTTATTTAACCATTTTTTCATCGCAACTATAATTTATAGGTCCGCCAAAACCTACAAAAACCCGAAAAATGCAATGGGGCGACCAATAAAAAATCATTATTAAAAAGGGTTAAATAAACAACTGGGTAATATTTCAATCATCATTTTCAATCTCAAACAACAACTTTGAACAATTCCTTTTTACTCTCAATTTTATATGATTTTAAAATGTTGTAAGCGCCAATCTATTATAATTATTACATATGTGTATTTAACCCCTGTAGCCAACTTTCTATAAGGAACGCAATGAATTGCCAAATGAAATGTGAAATGTCATAACTGGGTACTTTGTAAATCACCTGAAATCTTTGTCAGATTATTTTTCGGATGGTAGTAGTACCTAATATAGGTTTGGTACAAAATCCATCTACGAAGCATTCATAGATCTCCAGAGTACTTCGACATTAAAACACACATTTGAATCTGAGTCTCTGAAAGAGTTTTGAGTTAGTGTTAAGAGTAAATATCGATAGTCCTCTGCAATAACGGCACAACTTAAAATTTCATGTTTTTGAGTTATATAGAGGATTATGTTTATAAATAACCATATTTTTCTGTGGCAAAACAGCATAGGCTTAGTTGTTACCAATCCGGCAGAGGCGCAGTTTTGCCATTTGTCACAAAACCGAAGTAGCCAACCCTTACTATTGAACAGTGGTACACTTCCCACATTTATCGTGAAGTCAAAAACTCTCGATAGGCTTGTCATGCTTTTATGTGAAACAACGACACTTTTCGTATCATACCGTTGTTCATTTCATAGTTTCAGGAGGACACTTAGTCATTTTTTAATGGGAATAATTTCCCCTATAGAATGACTGCAAATAATCCGGAATAATTACGTTCCAAGACATATTATTGCTGCATTACGAAACACAAAATCTTTAATTTGCTCTACCGAAATATAAAAAATGTTGAGTTGTGCCGTTATTGCAGAGGACCATCGATATCATGAAGTCGCTAAAAAGCCCATCTTAACTTTGCTTCCTTCTGTCACAACGTACTCTGTCAAAAGGGGTATCAGCTTACAGTTATACAAAAAACAAATTCATGTTGAAATTGGCTGCTACTCCAGAAATGTGCATACAGCTTTCAGACATTATTTTATACAATAATTAATAACAGTGAAACAGTTTCATTCTTCACATTAAAATTTAAAGTATGACTATTTCTATTAAAAGTTTTCATTCATGTTTAAATTGTTCTGTCTTTGATTTTTAGTAGTTTGATGTGGGTTCCATAAAATGAAAGGTATTTAGTAAGGGTTCTATCATCTTAAAAGTTTGAGAACCCCTGAACCACAAAAGGCATTTTGAAGTTTTCTGGCACCATTTTCATTCTTAGCAGTTTTGAAGAACGCCCGATTTCCGAGTTTTAATGAAAAACACTCTATCTGAGAATTTGGTTGAAGAACGCCCTATTTCAGGATACGAATCAAAAATGCCCTATCTCACTTCATTACTGAAGGATTGAAAATGTGTTGCTATAGGGCGTTTTTGAAATGAATTCTTAAATAGGGCGTTCTTCAACCAAATTCTAAAATAGGACGTTTTTGAAGTTTTTTGAGATAGGGCGTTTTCGAACTGGCTACCGAGATAGGTCGAATATCCACTCAGCAGTCGATATACTCTATCTCTTTAGCAGAAAAAAATCATTTTCCATAAAATCCGTTCCCTGCTAATGACAAAACTTTTTAGCTTTGGCTGATGAAATTGACCGAATAACAGATGCGTTCAGCTACAGGAAATAATCACTGAAGACAAATGGCATAAAATATGTATGTCACTTTCAAAAGAAATGGCTCAATTAATAAGCCTGGTAAGCAGATTATGCTCAATGTACCAAATAACTAAACTCGCAAAAAATTAAAATTTTGAAATAATTTTTCTTTATTATTCAATTTGCGATATGTACTTCCTCTATTGTTTAAGTTTTTTACAGAAATTCAAATTTAGATTTGCTTTGTTCCAGTCATTAGGCCTTAAAATTTCATATAGTTTACAAAACCAAAAGATTTTCTACGTTTAAGTAGAATAAATAGACGCCTGGTACATATTTTGTTAAGTATTTTAACAGATAATGCTCAACATATAGCATTCATTCGACGGTTGGCGAAGCTCTGAAATGGGTCGATTCGGGGCGCAATTGAAGATGCATTCAGACACAGGCAACAGATTTTTAAATTATGGGCACATACCCTTGTGGTCAGCTGATTAAATTAAGTGACATTTTGACAAGTTTTGGTTATTTTTATTAAATGTTTATATTTTTTTATAAAAGTCTAGCACATAATTTTGACGCTCAATTTCTTATTACCGCTTCGCAAAGGCCACATAAATTTACATACATATACAGGGTGTCCCAGAAGTGACGTGCCAAACTTTAGGGGAGGGTGGGTGGGGGGGGGGGGGTGAGCTCACTGATAAACAAAAAATTTTATTGCGGAAAAGCAACAATAATTTTCATTTAAAACGGCCTCGAGCTCAATATAAATTGTTGAATATAATTGTTATAAAGGCCAAAAAAATAACAAAAAAAAATGTTCAGGTAAAAGTGTCACCATTTTTGAAATATTTACATTTTTTCGAATTTAAAAAAAATCGTGCCTTTTCATGTGTTTTCTTTAACTGCAACTACAAACCGGGCAATACTTAGTAAATTTTTTATGTAAAATACTTCCAGATAGTTGCCTCTCCATACTCAAATGCAATGTAGTTAAAATATATTAAGGAACCATCATAAAATTAGGACTATTTCGGGATTTTTAACTTTTTGATATTTTCTTCCCCAACTTTGACTATCTCGGGTGAAAAAAAATGTACTGAGCTATAACTTTACATTACATAAAAAAATTGCTCATTTAATAAAGATTTCAGAAAGGTGCCACACTTACTGTTTTGAATAGAAAAAAAAAGTTATAGCCGCTTTTGTGGGTAAAGGACTGAGACACGCTAGAATGTATTTAATAGATTTAAATTGAATTTGCTCTTGTTACCGTCAAATGACATGCTAAATAGTTCAAAGGTACATAATTACTTGCTTCTGACATTATTTTATGTTACTTACCGGAATTCGGACTAGAGTCTATAACAAGGGCTATATCTATCAATATTTTGTGTGAAGGATGGGTTCACGTGAAATAAGATATACATGAGTTGTTTGAAGAAAAATTTATTCATTTATTGATAAAATATGCTCAAATTGGCGACCTTCTACTCTAATACAAGCTCGGCACCTTTTAAGTAAAGACGCTTTTAGAGGTCTTAAACTCAATTGGGCTATCTCAGCAGCAGCTCCATTTATTTGTTCCCGCAAATGCTCTTCGTTTTGAATTGTTTTTGAATAAATTTTGTCCTTAAGACAGCCCCAGTAGAAAAAATCGAATGGATTCAGGTCTGGCGATCGAGCGGGCCACGTGATTGGCCCGTATCGTCCAATCCATCGGCGAGGATAAGTTTCGTCTAAATGAGCTCTTACTTCACGCCCGTAGTGAGCAGGGCACCTGTCATTTTGCAGCCATAGTCTTCGCCGCAGGTTTAAGGGTACATCTTCCAAAAGAGTTGGAAGCCGTTCCTGAAGGAACTCTAAATAACTGTGAGAATTGAGCGTTGGCGGCAGTTCCACAGGTCCCAATATCTGACAATTAAAAATACCGCACCATAAATTTATTTTGTACCGGCACTGCGAACGATCTTCTCTCATTTCGTGAGGAGTGTCTATCTGCCAACTGTGAAGGTTATGTAAATTAAAATAACCATCACGTTTCACATCGCTCCAAATTATTTTATTAAAAAAGTTGGGGTCTGATGCATGCATTCGCAACATTTCACGGCAAAATCTAACCCTCGACAGGTAATCTCTTTCCTGTAGAGCCTGAACACGTTGAATGTGGTAGGGATGAAATCGATGGTCTTTTAAAGCTTTGTGAACTGTAGTTTTTGGTATTCCCGTCCGTCTTTCCATCGTTCTCACTGAAGTCGATGGACCTAGTTCCACTTTCTCTAACACAGCTTCAACATCTACCGTTGCAGGACGTCCTGTTTCGCCGCCACGCTTTCCAGGTATGCGACCTTAAAAAAGTGAAAAATTATAGTTAACAAGCAAGCAAACAAGAAAGGTGTAAAAATCACTTACCTTCATATATTTCTCTATGGGTCCGGGCGAATACTTCACGACCCGGATGTCGACGATTGGGGTATCCCTCTGCATAGAGTCTTTGAGCAGCTCTGGCATTACAGCAAGCTTCACCGTAAATTAGGTGAATATCCGCATATTCATGCGACGTATACTGCGTGTTCTCTGTCATAGTATTAATAACACAATGTTCGAAGGGTCCAATTTCACAAAATTCACTTTCACTAATTCCGGTAAGTAACACAAAATAATGTCAGGAGCAGGTAATAATGTACCTTTGTACTATTTAGCATGTCATTTGACGGTAACAAGAGCAAATTCAATTTAAATCTATTAAATACATTCCAGCGT